AAGTGCTAAGCAGTGCCGTGAAATTGCCCCCGCTGGAGATTTCTCATTACCACTTTCCTCAATGCTGCAGCACTAGCTGGCACCCCCAAGCAGTAATCTTAAACCAACCCGAAAGTCGTTCGATCATCGTTAACAGTTTAGATTCACCCGTGATTGGCTGGCAATGCATACGTCAGCATGCATGTCTGCGCATGCGCAGCTTCTAATAATGAGGCAATCTGGGGCCATAGGCAATCCTTGTGTTCTTGGGAGGGCACACCTCTTGAGGATTTTTTTTTTACTTTTTACCATTCCCTGGGCTGCCCCTGCTAATGAGATTTGTTCACTGTGGATGTTTTTGTCAAAAGATAAAAAAAAAATCAGCATCAGCAAAATAAGTCCATCATAGGTCCATCACAAGTCCATCACAAGTCCACCCCAAGCATATCATAAGTGCATCACAAGTCCATCACAAGTCCATCACAAGTCTATCACAAGTCCATCACATGTCCATCCTAAGTCCATCACATGTCCATCACAAGTCCATCACAAGTCCATCACAAGTCCACCACAAGTCTATCACATGTCAATACAAGTCCATCACAAGTCCACCACAAGTCCACCACAAGTCCATCAAAAGTCCATCAAAAGTCCATCACAAGTAAATCAAAAGTGCATCAAGAAGTCCCATCAACAAGTCCATCACAAGTCCATTACAAGTCCATCACAAGTCCACCGCAAGTCCACCACAAGTCTTTCAGTCTGAAATCACGGCACTGGCCATTCATAGTACCGTAAAAGAAGAATTCCTTTATCATTGTTTTTTTTTCCAGCTCCTTTTGACTGGACTGGTAAAAGGACTTGGACGGCACTCATGAACAGACTTGTGACTGGACTTGTGACTGGACTCGTATAAACTCGACTTGTGACTGGACTTGTGACTGGACTTGTAGTTTCTATGTTATCACCTGGCAACGATAATGAATAAACAATACAAAAACTGTGTGGATCGTTGATGAATTGAAGAAAATCGAGTAATAACGACGCCTTGTTCTATTGCATCTGTATGGCGTGCGGAGTCCACACTGAAAATGGAAGGTCCCTTCTGCCATAAATTAAGAGTACATTGATTTTTATCTTTCGTCCTTTCAAAGTCTTCTAGCGCGCTCGGTGTATTCTATGAACAATGTAAATATCAAGGACAGAATTCCATTATTACGATTTCTTCGCTCTTGCTTTATTGTTTTTCTGCAGGTTCATTATTAGCACCAAGCTTGCTGGCAACAAGGATTCTGCGTTTTTAATATTTCACCTTTTCAAAGTCTTCTGACGCGCTAAGCATATTCTATGAAAACTGTGAATATCAAGGACAGAATTCCGTTATTGGAATATCTACGCTCTTGCTTCATATGTTTTCCCCAAAGGTTCATTATTGGGACCAAGCTTGTTGACTACAGCGATCATTACAGGAAGACAGTTCCTTTCCTTGGCGATGCCGCGCCATTTCATATCGATTTCCGACTGTTTGCAGTGGGCTGCATTGTTAATTTTGATGATGAAAATTTGAAGTTTAGATCCACTCTTCATTGGTTAGTATGCATGGTCAGAATGCATGGTCTGCGGCTGCGTAGCTCTGGGTCAAGCTTGTGGTGCTATAGGGTGCGTTTATAGCTCCCCGGGTCGACATGGGTAAAGGCAGACGGGTCAGCCACGACAGCCGGGCTAATCCGACGCTCAACCGCGGCCCATCACGATCCTCACGTGACGCCTTAGCCATGGCCGTAACAACTGATAAAAAAAACCGCCCGTTTTGGATTGGGTCTAAGGTTGAGATTTACTGTGTTTTAGTCAAATGTAAAACTCAAAAACGTTGGGCTGAAATTATAGTCTTAAAAACAATAGGATCAACCTCTCAGGCACTATGGGCTCCGTGCGCAAACAAAAGAGGGCGCGTTGTTACCACTTTTGAGAGCCCCTAGGACGGGACACCGCGTGTACGTACGGGACTGGTTCGCAAGCGAAGTACTAAAAACGTATCTATCCTGAATGTGCCATAGATATAGAATAAAAAGACTAGATCGGCAGTGCGTACAGACGCGCGTTCTCCCATGGGCGGCGCCCTTTTTTCAGCGTGTGGGGAAAATGTTGAATTACGCGCACCTTTATTTCCGTAGGGTTTGTATGAAAAAGTAATATTTTATGTCGGTAAAAGTAATATTTGTCCTTCAGTAGTTATTTACCCAACAAAATTCAAATTGGGTTACCAAGCTGCATGTTCATCTCGAAATTTGGTCCATTCTATTCTTCGTTTTTAATTTACATTTTAAAATGCTGGTGCTCGTTGCTAAAAAAACCCCCATTACATCCAGTCGTTAAAGTGTTATTTGCTTCTGAATCATCAAAACAGAGTACATGTATATAGCCCGCAGCTTCATTAACTTACAGAATGATGATCATTTTGAACGTCTTCTTCTGTTAGTTGTTGACTTGTTCTTAAATTTAAATTCACAGCAGCTTTAAGGGGTAACACCTAGAACAGTTTTTTCTCCATTGTCCCTCCTAAGGCCAAGGACATGACAAACGCCATTATCAGATAAAAAATAGAACAAATACATGTATGATTGTGCTCTCCTGCGTATCCAGCATCTCCAAATCTGCAAGATGGCGCAAGAATCTCACAATATTGAACAACATGGGTAGATCATATATATATGAATAAACTTGAGGAGTTAATTAGATTTAAAAACGGTTTTGCCATCTCGTTTCCCTATGAGTAGCCGTGGTTTTGTTTGTCCGTTGCAAAAGATAATTCTCAATGTCGAACCCCCGATAACGCCTTGAAGATCTCCATGATTTTGCAATTAATGCCCCCCTTCCAACCTGGTCGTGAAATATGCACAACAAACACACTCATCGTCCGTACCCTCAAAACATTTTACAATGTTAATTTAAATAATTCAACGGTAATTTAAAGCAGTTTTCACATTCCGTGTGTTCTTTTTTATTGTTTAAAACTATATAGTTTCTATGTACAATTAATCAGATACCAGACATATGTTGGGTTGCCAGTGGGGGGCCAACACCTCTAACGTAGCAAAGACCTCTTTGTCTTAAATTTTTAGGAAATAAATTTGACGCGTATCTCTCTCGTAACCCATCAGCTGCACATATATTTCAGTTTTAATATTACAATGTGAAAAAGCGCAAGATATTATACTTAACTCCCTTCCCCTTAAAAAAAATCCTCGAGCCCTTTTGCCCCTTCCCTCAAAAATTTGGTAATGGATCAGTCGCGTTGATTTCTCATTGTAACTGACAAAGATTGAGTAATTATAAGAACGAAGGTTCCATTATTTTTTGGAGGTAATACAAAGGACGATAGCAGCAGACGAAACTCTTGGACCCGTTTAGTGGTTGAGATATGTCTTTGCTGATCTTGGTGCCGTTTTGTTTGTGTGTTTATTTGTTCTTTATACTTGTCTTGTGGCCAATGATTTTATGAAGGGTCTAGGCCTATATTCTATTTTACAACCTCTAAAGCTAAAGCCTTTCCGTTCGCTCTATGGTATGAACACAGTGAATGTCAAGGGCAATGTGTTGCAATATCTGCAATAAATCTGTGAATGGTAACTAGCTGGAGATCGTACTTTAAAGAGCCTCTAGATTTTTTTCTGGCGAATTTTACTTAAATTGTGTGTTATTTTGCATAACACTGTTTACCTAATTATTTTTTTACATATCTTTTTGAGAGTGTATTACCAGATGGTAAACCATTCCATATCGATTTGTGACTGTTTATGACTGAGATGGTCGTCATTGTTCAATTTTAAAACGGTGTTTTTTTTTCCTAGACGTTATTTTGTTAAAACTGGAAACTGTAATTACAAGGGGATACCA